TACACATGTCCACTATGTATAGCTACACATGTCCACTATGTATAAGCTACACATGTCCACAGACATGCTTGATAGACACAGTTAAAATATTACCTTGGTGTCCGGCAGGCACCCTGTCCGGCATTGTTTACTTGTTCGATTGCATTGCCTGTGATGTATCTTCGCAAAATTAAAAGAGTGTGGAATGATTTGCATTCATATAAACCCCAAATTTGCGCTTACTATACATGTAGTTCTATGARCATGCAAAACGCGCCACTTCCTAGAGAAAACGTAGTTAAAGAAGCATCATGCAACTGATAACCTCTTCTATGTTAGTCTCGCGCGTGCGCTTAATCAACACTACAAGTGCAGTCTTATATAATCTCTTTTTTTCTATAGAGCCACTATACCTCATCATCATCATCATCATCATGACTCATAGGAGGCGTATGAGGCCTACACAAGTGAAGTCTCATATAATTTCTTTTATCTATGGAACTACTATRTACTTAATCATCATCATCATCATGASTCATAGAAAGCGCAAAAGTCCTACAATTGCAGCCTAATATAATCTTTTTTACATAGAGCAACCATAGTTAATGAAGCTGTATTTGGTAACTCTACTGGGTCATATAGCATTGCGTTTAGTCTTCTTCCACCTCTTCTGGGCATTTGTTAAGATGCCAGATATGGCATGTACTTCAAGTGCAATCTCATATATAAGAGAAGTCTGTAATTTTATATTTTGTTCTCAAGGAAACATTCCTGTTTTAAGAACAATTCTTGAATCCACTGGTTCCGCTGGTTCACATTTAAAGCATACATAAAAAGGCCGGAATACCCTTTTTATCTATGGAGCTCCTATACTTGGCAATTCTCACTTGTACTATTGCTCTGTAGTGTTGTTCAAACAGCAATTTCGTCTTCTTCTATTTCTCCTGGGTATTTATTAAGAGGTTGATATGRCATATGGTTTTCATAGACTGGGTTTTGTACCAAGTCTGCGTATCCTGTCGGTRGAGTCGATGGACTCGGTGAATTAGCATATTCCACCTCAGAATGTGTGGACGACGGCGCTGGAGAATCAAARGAATCACAAGGTTGTAGGTAGTAGTCATCAGCTATCTCGGCGTACAAAACATCTGGTTCTGCATATAGCTGCATATCTTCAGTCCCTACTGCTTGACCTGGGGTATTGTTCCTCTGGTTTGTTAGGTAAGCTCTATTTTCAGCCATAGGCGTAGATACTGCATATGATTGCCTTCATAATACAAAGAAAAAAACGGTGTTATAACCAATACTTCGAGTTCTCTGTTGCTCAGGGTTAGCCTCTATTTCTTAGAGAATATTTATGTGTTCCAATGAAGGTCAGTGGAATTTCAAGGTGTTTGTATTGTTGAAGTTGTGCATTCTTAACTTTACCCTTGGTATGTGTGAATATTTAGACACTGATACGAGGTTAAGGCTGAATAAMAGAGACGGTATAATCAAGGAACACAACAAACGGTAATGTGTAACTCAAAAAATGGTCTTTTGGTGGTTTGCAACCATTCCCAATTGAGGCAAAGTCATGGCGGCCATGTTGGTGGCATTAACAAAGGAATCCTATGAGGAATCGTCTGTTCAATACCTCCAATACAACGTCGACGTATTAACGTAGAAACGGAGAATATTTATTCTTTGATTCAGTATGATTGTGGACTCAGTTTAATGTCCATCTTGYTGCGAACGCAAGTGCACCTTGTTTTGAGGGGGTGCGCAATAGATTGATAGAGATATGATGACCGATGGGAGGTCATTTGAAAAATCTGCAGTGGCAATGTTTCTAGTCACTTAATATGTTTTGAGCCCGTCAGGTGTCAATAAGTATAATTGCGCACGAATGACGTAGAGGTGCGAAATTCATAAAACTTTTAGAATCTAACTTACCAGGGTTTTTTCTCGGATTTCGACTCTCCTAAAGTCAATAGTAAGTCAATGAGTAAAAACAACAAGTATTTAGTATTCAATATACTATGAGTGAGAAACAATCTCATTTAAGAATTAAAGCGGCTGGTTCACAAAAAGAATGTGTTTGCACAAATGAGTATAGGGCGTTCAAGGTCACTACTGGCTGATCCACTATCCACCTCCAACCCCCCGGGGGGCTCCAACCAAAATTAATTGTTGAATAAAAACTGCATGAGCGTGTGCGACTTTGGCTGGAGAGTTATCTAGCATTGCTTTATTAGTAGTGCATCTAAACAGCACGCGTGGATTCACACATTTTCCCAAAATAGGGTTTTGGCTGATGTCAAAGTGTCCATGACACTATCGGAAAACACGAAATTTTGAAGGGGACGTTCTTATGGAATGTTATGAAAACGCCTTGGTCATTATTAACGTCCAATATAAAACCTACTTTTCGCGGCGACGAAGYGTCGGCTATTTTTCATTATCGTTCTAATTACCTGACTTTCGTTTCATCCACCAGAAAACRACAAAAAACATGCAAATTCCAACAGCCAAGAGAATGCCAAGAACAATGGCCACCAACATGGTAGGAAAACCTTCGGGTGCATTTGCAGGAGAGGATGTTCCTAAAGCCTGAGGATCTGGTGAAACTTTTAAAGTAAATGAAAAGAAAATGAAATTAGAAAAAGTAATGATAAAAAGGAATGTGAATTTGAAAAATACATCTTCATAAGAAGTAGTTTCCGAACGCAGATGGAAAATATAAATGCGGATGGTCATTCATGACTATGAATTTTTCTATAAATTGTTTTTCGAGCAAATCACATATGAAGATTCATTAACGGCACGAACTTGCTATGTGCCGTGCGATTACCGTGGTCGACGCATTGTGATTGGATCATGCACCAGTAATCTCGCTTACCATGATTTAACGGATGGTTTAACGGATTGCTTTAAATCCGTGATCGTACCGTGCGTATTAGTTCTTCACAGGAGACAACATTAACTTGATCAGTCCATGCAACAATATTTTATATAACAAAAAAGGGAGGGTGGAAATAAAAAGTCAAGAATAGGCATTTTATCACGCCGCCTCCATCGCATGTTAACTTGAGCAAAGGATCGTCTTCGGCCCGGGGCATCGCCTTGGGTCCATTGCAAAAATGTTTTAGATGGAATGCTCAATTAGACTTGATAGTTTTCATTTTGCGTGGAATTAAACATGATTTCCACGACGACTGGATCGTGCACATGTTTACTTACGTATTGATGCATTTCTTAAAGTCCATTCCGTTAAGGGCTCAGGAGTGGCCGGTGGATCTGGAGAGGGCGAAAAAAAAGCAGTAAGGTCGAGTGTATCATAATTGTTTATCTAACTTAACTTAATATTTCCTGTGCGCAAATTGACTCAGTCAATTGATTCGTTTACAAATAAAACCTGATCCCAATAACATATATGGTTGTTAACCGGCTAACAAGGTTAAATATTGCAAACATTTTTAATGGCAAGACCTATAGGCAAGACCGGCCCTCAAAAAAAAAAAAGTTGTCTTGTATACGTATATGCCAACCTGATAGGACATCTATAAGCAAATACGTACCAGCGTGTGACATAGATAGCGAGGTCAACTCATTAGACATRGTAGTTTTGATGTTGGTGCGACGAGAGGGGGTCACAGTAGGTCGTTGGGTTGTTGTTACAGTTGGACAGAATTTTAAAACACCTTGCGTATGGTTGACTTCTGTTGAAAAACATGTCAACAAATTRTST